AGGTGCGCGTAAGCTGGCCTAGACACCTGGTCATCAAAAAAATATGTCAATAACCTACATAGATTTAAAGTTAAGTGTTCAGAAAGAATCTCTCATAATATGATGATAACACATGGGTTCGAAATATATCTCTATGTCGTGCAATGTATTGCAAATTTTTATGGATATAATAATGTGAATTTCATACAGTTGATATATATATCATGATACTTTGTGATTATCCACAATATTTTATGGATTTTGAACAAATGAATATAATGTTGGTTAATACCAAATTCAACTGAACCAATGAATTATCAAGCCTTGAAATAGCAACTCCAACTCAGGAAATTATGACCCCAACCAAATTGATGTTGCATTATTTGCACTAGCAGACATAGTTTTGTGTATTTTATGGATTTAAAACACATGAATATAATGTTGGTTAATACCGAATTCAAGTGAATTGATGTATTATCAAACCTTGAAATAGCAACTCCTACATAGGAAGTTATGACCCCATCCGAATTGATATTACACTAATTGCACTCAATTTTTTTTGATGGTGATTGCACAATGAGGGGCCTTTTTCTCTTTGTGAGAGAAGGCATAAGCATCAAGGCCTCAAGTTGTAAGCATTTCGATCTCTATTTTTAGTAAATAAGTAAATATTTTAAAATGGTAAAAAACTATTAAAAAATAAATATAAATGTAAACACTTTTCTACTCGAAGTGTTGGACATCTCTTTCTAAAAAATAAGGTATGCCCTCGTCAAAGGTGAAAATTGACATCATACCTCTTTTTTTTGTTTTGATAAAGAAAAGTCAATTTTATTACCGAAACAACATCAAGATGATAGTAATGAATACATCAATCGGCACCATAACCTTCAATTATCAAGCTTCTCATTTGAGCCTTAGCTTTGTTTCTTTTCTTAGTTAGTCATTACTTGATTTTACACATGGAACATAGTTACAAAAGAGGTTCTTTTTTATATTTAAACCACATATTAGATGAAGTTTGACAAGTTAAGACAAACTTTTCATGTGTAATCGTGTCATATGCTTATGCGCAAAAGGTGTACATGGCGTTTGCCTTAGATTTTGATGTGCAAACCTTTGGGAAGTGTCACCTAAAAATCAAAGCCTTGATGTATTTTTCTTTAGCCTCACCTTGATGTGAGCCTCAATGACACCTTTTAAAACTTTTGCACTAGCAGGCATACTGTGGATACCACGCCTTTCAACGCACCCACACATCGGATTTGACTCTTTTAAAAGTATGTGAATCATCGAGGTCTAAATTGGCAATATATCATAATATTTCCACAAATCAAGGTGAGGCTAAAGAAAAATACATCAAGGCTTTGATTTTTAGGTGACACTTCCCAAAGGTTTGCACATCAAAATCTAAGGCAAAAGCCATGTACACCTTTTGCGCATAAGCATATGACACGATTATGAAGCTTGGGTAACCAGCTTGGGGAATGATAGAATATCACCCCCTATTTATAAATGAAACTTAGGGTTTACAAGAAAGGCAATTACAAGATGATCCCTGAGTGCTATCCCTGAGGATACGTTAAATATATATATATATATATTTTAAATATAGTTATTAAGATGAGTTATATTATATAAATAACAAATAATTATTTTACATATATGTGTTTATTTATTTTTATTAATATATATAAGTATATATTATCTTATAAATATCTTATATGTTATACAATAATTATTATATAATATCTATATAATTTATATAATATCTATTGTATTATATAATTTTTTTTAGATGAATAATATTACATATTATTATATTAATGTAATTTATACTATATATTATATATTAATGTAAATGTAATATGAATAATAATTTATAAAAATTATTATTATATATGATAAATTATGTAAATTATATTATATATATTATATATGATCAATATATATGATCATTAAAACAGAGGCGAAGAGAGAGAACAGATTGAGAGACGAAGAGAGAGAGAGAAGCAGAGACGGGACGAAGAGAGAGAGAGAAGCAGAAACGAAGAGAGAGACGAAGACGATCGAGCTCGAGGTCGAGATCGGCAGTGGTCGAAGCCCTAGACGAAGACGATCGAAGCCCTAGACGAAGACGATCGTGATCAATAGTGAGAGCCCTAATCGTGATCGATGATTGAAGCCAACAGTGACCAGGTTCTCTTCCTTTCTCCTCTTTCATTTCTTTGCTGTCTGTAAAGTGCCGTGTCCGAGAGAGACGAGGCGAATCCGACACAGATCTCACACCCGCACCCGTGTCGTGTCGTGTCGACACGGGTACTTCGCCCCAAAGTGACGAGTCCATGTAACATAGCCGAAAGGTACACTAAGGTCTGTCTGTAATCATTTTATGCACTCAGGGATAGCACTCAGGGATCATCTTGTAATTGCCTTTCTTGTAAACCCTAAGTTTCATTTATAAATAGGGGGTGATATTCTATCATTCCCCAAGCTGGTTACCCAAGCTTCATAATCGTGTCATATGCTTATGCGCAAAAGGTGTACATGGCTTTTGCCTTAGATTTTGATGTGCAAACCTTTGGGAAGTGTCACCTAAAAATCAAAGCCTTGATGTATTTTTCTTTAGCCTCACCTTGATGTGAGCCTCAATGACACCTTTTAAAACTTTTGCACTAGCAGGCATACTGTGGATACCACGCCTTTCAACGCACCCACACATCGGATTTGACTCTTTTAAAAGTATGTGAATCATCGAGGTCTAAATTGGCAATATATCATAATATTTCCACAAATCAAGGTGAGGCTAAAGAAAAATACATCAAGGCTTTGATTTTTAGGTGTAAATTGGCAATATATCATAATATTTCCACAAATCGATTTATCCCCGATCGATTCACAAAAGTTTGGAGCCGTCTCCTAATTTTTAGGGAAAACTAAGAAACCTAACCCCATTATAATTTAGGCCACTAATCTGACACAACCAAAAATCTTGGTTCGGGAGTTTAGGTACAAAAGGGGCAGGCCATTTTGCCCAATCAATTGATTGGCCTCTACTAATTTTCTTTTATGATATTTATTTTCTTATTTAATTTCATGAACTTGATTATTAACGTAATCTCTTAAACTAAACCTACCATCTACGTGATGCATACAATATAGATCAGATCACTTTTAACTTGAATATTTGCATGTTTATAAGGATTTGATTTTAAAAGAATATCTTCATAAAAAGGAGAGAATTTTCCAAGATAAAAGATTTTGAAAACAAATCTGGCAAATATCCTAATTAAAAATATAAGACCTCCAAAAATGCAATTTATATCAAATAATCACATATAGCAAGTTAATCTTCCAAACGTGCAATCATATTGAATATGCAAAATATGGCAAGTAAATCATGATAATATTCGAATGATGAAGAACATGCATGAAAGCTCAAGAACATGGACGAAGAATGTGAACATTAATCTAAATGCATGATCCTAGATATTAGAAAAGCTAATGCAAACATGCATATTATGAAACCCTGAAGGCCCAGAGGACAATAAATATGAGTCATATATAAATAACTTGGATTTAATCAACTAAACTAAATGATCAAAATAAAACGCAGTGAACAAATCATATGGATGATGAACTAATTTGGGCCTATATGCATGAATATATGATTTAAATAACCTAAAACTATTATACAATAGAATCATGGATTAAGCTTAATCAAAATAAATAAAATATCTAGTTAACATGATAAAACATGCATGAAACTAAATGAATCATTATCAAATGAATAAAACATGATTAAATAGTTTAAAAATCAAAAGAATAAGAACAATACCTTTGGTTTGACAAACAAACCGTAGACAAGCGAAAAAGAATTGCTTGAATACTTTCCTCAAGCTTTGTATTATGTTTGATTCAACTTGCATCCACTTTAGATGCATATTTGCTGTATGTATGTATGTATGTGTATGTTCGGATTTGAAGGTGGCTAGAGTTTAAAAGAGGCAAAACTTGAGTATTAGGAGTTCTCTCTCCCAAAAACACTTAGGGGATGGGTATATAAAGGCATAAGGTGACTTGGGGACGAATTTATGCATGTTAAGGCTAAACCTAATGTGTATAGACTTCCTCCTGCAGTTCCTCCCACTAAATTAGGCAAGAAGTCCCAACCAAAATAGAATTTTGCCTCAACCGGACCAAGGTGCAGCCGCACCTGGACTATGGTGTAGCTGGGAATGTGATCTGCGGCTGAATGGTGGCTGGTGTGGGTTGACTTCCCAAGTCCGGCCATGTGTTAGTCAACCCACAGGCCCACGAGGTCCCAAGTCCACCATTCTACTCCTGGGCTAACTTATTGCCTAAGAAAGCCCAATTAACTCCCAATTGAGGTTTTGATTGAAAATGATGCTAACATTTTTGAAAAATTCATCAACTCAGATTTAATTGGGCCTTCTTCTCTCATCTTTACTGTGAAAGAGGCTAAAAAAACAGGTTTTAGTAGAAAAATGTTTTTGGGTATAAAAAGGACAATTTTGGATAAAAACAATTTTTTGGGAATAAAAAAATGATACAGCGAACCACAGTGACCCAAACATACTAAAGTCAAAGTTTTAACACTTTCATCATCGGGAAGCATTCGAACGCCTAGGTTTTAGGGTCAGTTAAAATGGGGTGTCTACACATACCCAATTTTGCTCAATCTTGTAAATTCATGTAAGTTGGAATTCAGCTATTGGAGTTGATGGAGAGTATTAGAAGATTATGTCTAAATATCATGTGGCAAGATTTCTTTCACCATATTTTGTAGCTTTAGGATATTAGATGGTTACTTTCTGGAAGCATCTCATCCTTTAGGCGAGATCTAAAATGTGCAGTTTGTTTGAGCTTACAACTTTTGTTTTAGTTCGTTATTGGTTATGCTTATTCCTGCTAGGACTCTCAGGCTGATAGGGTTCATATTTATTTATGTGAGAAGTTCTCAGAATTGTTATCTTTTGTAATGTATTTCTTTATTGCAGGGAACCACTTATCAATTGCTGCCCTGTATGTGGTGAAATTCTTGAAGTTTCAGATAAGTTGAACAATATGGTTCATTTGACCCTGTGTTTTGATGAAGGGACTGGAAACCAGGTTATGACTGGGGGATTCTTGACTGATAAACAAGCTTCATATGGGTGCGTATTTTGTGAATGTTGAACTTTTGGATCATGTATGATATAATACAACTATTCCTTCCAATTTTATGAATAATTTTCTATTCCATGATTTAAATTATAAGACCAATTATTATGTCTTTAGGTGGATGTTTAAGCTAAGTGAATGGGCCAATTTTTCCTCTTATGACATCGGTTTGAAATCTGGGTCAAGATCTTCGCATATTGTGGTAATCTCTCTCTGAACATGTGTTTCAAGTGATAATGTTTTCTAGTAAGTCCACAAATTGTTACACTTCAGAAGTTGCGTCTTAGTCATTTTTTGTTCTATTAATTTCTGATACCATATCACAACCAGGATTTAATAGTGTCTATTTGAGGTGATGTGACATTTATTTTAATTTTTTTCAGTTCCATATATTTATCAAAAAATATGTATGTGTATTTTTTTTTTTTTTGTTCCATAAAGGTTTGCTCTGGCAAAAATGGTCTCCCATGTTGGTTGAATTGAGGAGTATAGGCATTTGGTATCGATTTAATAATTTTCTATGTATACAAGATATTGTTGGTGATGAATATGTAATTGTGGGGCGGGGTCAGAAGATTAACCGAATAAAAAAGGAGTTTCATAGCTATGGTGTATGTATGATTCAGTATATGACTTGATCTTTTGATAAAGATGTATTGGATTAGATTCTAACTAGTTAGATCTGTTTTTTCCGTCCAAAGCTTCTTAGATAATGTCGTATACACTGTATCCTTCTTAACAACATATTCATTTTTGCTATTGGAAATCAGAAATTAATTATCCTTTAAAGTTCTTTCTTTTTATATTCATCCCCCAAATTCAATTATCTTCTGTGTGTTATTTTTTCCTTTTTTCTTTAGTGTACTTCCATCCAAAATAAGTCACATATAAGCTAATAAATTTGAAATTATTAGTCTTTGTCTTTGTACAGATAAATTGACTGTTGTTTATTGACATCATAATATTAGGGGTCCCATTCATTTATTTGTGTGCAACACCCTACACAGGTTGTTGTTTCATCAAATCACATATCATTAATTTCAATGCAAAGCCTTTGTGGCTTTTTTATGTTTTAATTATTGTTTTGATGCTTTAGGTTTTTGATCGGAGGACAAAGAGGCTAGTGGAGGAATTAATTGATGCAAAGATTGTTTTATCGATGAGAGCCATTTATCAATCTAAAATAGGGCTTGGCCTTATGGACACAGGTGTAGCATTTATCTTTGTTGATCCTTAGCAATGACTTTTTGAAAATAGTTTAAGGTTATGTGCATTAAATATCTGCAGTTCTATTTCTCTCTCTATCTCTCTCTCTTTCTCTCTCTCTGACACACACACACAAACGCGGGCTTTCTGTATGAATAAATGCTCCCTATAATCGTTGGAATCCTTGGTCCTTCAGCTAAGTGGAAAGTTAAATCAATGTTACAAAATTATTGTTACTTTTTATCCTACCAATTTGTGTGTGGAAAGTACTCAGGCCCCGTTTGTTTTGGAGTGTAACGGATGGGAGGGGATTAGGATGGAGGTGGGGTTATTTAGTGTTGTGTTTGTTTTTAGAGTTGGGGAAGAGATTAGGATGGAGGAGGGGATTAAGATGGAGGTTGGAAGGGGGATTGGGATGGAGGAGACAGAGGTAGTATTAGAAAAATAGTGAGGGGATTAGAATTTTTTTTTTATTTTTTACATATTGGGAATTTTTTTTTTAAACATTAATGTTTAATTTTTTATATTTTTTTATTTGTTCTATTATTTTATATAAAAATAATTTAACAATTCGTACACTAACAACTATTATCAAAACAAACACAATTTTACTTAATCCTCTCACTATGAATCCCCTCCATTCTACCTCTGAAAACAAACGGGGCCTCAATTTATGGTGCACTTCCATTTATAACTAAATTTAGTGATTCTGAAATTTATCTTTTACATGAGGAAATATTAGAAGAAAAATATATAAAGGAAATGGAAAAAGGTGAGGGATAGCGGCCCTCACCTATCATGAAAAAAAAAAAAATTACTATTGCTTTGGTGATTTAGAACTACACTATCATATTTCTAATATTTCAGCTATATAAACCTACCCTTGTTATTGAGTTCCCAACCACATTCTTATTCCATTATGTGAGCCAAAATATTCAGCGTAAAAACTTTTGAACTCAACTGTATACTTCTGACACTTCTATCATTTGGCTTAATGTAGGACATATTTTTCGACAAATCGGAGACAATCATGTTTTGCCTTACTAGTTCAAATTCTCAGTCCATTCCTCACTTTGCCTCCATTTCAGTCTTTATTTGCTCATCACTGCTCTTAATGATCTTCTGTTGCAAATTACAAATTGACTTCACTTCTTTTCCATATCGTTTGTTCATAGTTTGTGTAAGTTCGTAACTTTTGGACTAGTTTGGTGCTACAATTGGGTGCAGGGGTGAAAGAACTTTTGCAGAGCATCTCGGAAATGCAGGGAAAGAAAATGAATTCAATTGAATCAGCTAAAGATATACCAGAGTTCATTGAATTTTTTAAGGTATGATAATTTTGAATAATAAATGTAACAGTGATTTTGTTATCATGTTTTTAGGTATGATGAAATGTTTTTGCTTCCTTGGTGATTGCGTTTTGAGCACAATGGTATTCAAAGATAATTTTCTTACGCTTTTTGGGTGAAAGTTAAGTCTGCTTTGATATGAATTCATGAATCTGTTCTTTTCTGAAGTCTTCTTGTATGACTTGTATCATGGTTACATACATTACTTTTGAATGCACAAGAGGTGGGTGGTGGGTACTTCCTAATTGTTTCACATGTTGATGTTTAAATTACCCTTTTTACGTCTGATGATCAAATCAATAATATGTCCAGATTGATGTTTCTTTCCAGTTGGAGTAATTTTCTATTAAAAAAAGAAGTGTTGTGTTATCTTTTGTGGGCATTTGGCAATATAATTCTGCATTACAAAAGGTGGAAACCCGTGACCGGATCAGCTTTCAGCAAACATGATCCTCACATTTTATTGTTATTATTTTTTCCTATTATGCCCCTAACTTGCATATTCATATTAGGATTCATGTTTATAAGGGATTTGGTGGGGATTAATGTTCAAAATTGTGTCCCTTAATTAGGGAGAGGAATAAAGATGAAGGCCACTAAGGATTGAAACGTAGTCATTAATGTAGAATACGAGTCAACAACCACTACAGCTAGACTTAAGTTTGCAATGCATCAATTAGTTTATATTAATATGTACGAATGTACTTATTTAAAAAAGATAAAATTATATTCTTTTTATTCACTTTTATCTTTTGCCATTACATGCAATATCACATACATATTTATTCATGAATACACAATATATGTATCGCAATCAAACAATCAAACTAGCACTTTCGAAACACAAAAGGCAAATACTGAACTGATTATGGGCATAATCACTTGTACCATAATTAATTCTGAAAAATATACCTAAGCTAAAGGTTTCCCAAACGAGCACTAATATAACAATTGAGGTATATAAGTGTTATATTTCATGTTATGGTATGGTTTTGAAGTGGGAAGAACAGTTGACTGATGTCTTTGATCAAAGTATTCTTCTTACCTTTTAAATGGAGAAAGAAAATAGAATAATTATTTTCTATTTTCTTTGTTTGATGCTCAATCAGTAAATGCCATGCCAAGAGAGGAAGAATTGTGATTTGTAGATGATTTGCAGAAACTTCAGTAAAATCTCTTCATTCAACATGACTTGTATCCACCCCAAAAAAAAAAAAAAATGACTTGTGAAGTTTTTGTTATTAGAGAATTAACATAGCTGCCACCAAGTGAATGGTATTTAAAGCTATTTCAAATTGGTTTTCGTATGTGTTGTGCTTGTGTGGTTGCTCGGTAGACATCTAATGTAAATGTTAAAGTGGTATACATGTTTGTGTCTGTTTATACATATTTTCAAGTTGGATGCTCACTCATGCTTTAGTTTTTGAAACATTAAAGTAATTCATGAGTCGTGTCTTTTGTCTTCAAAGTGATGTTTATACAAAGTGATGATCTATGGGTGGACTCAGAATATTCTGTTGAATTAAGCAATCTTAACATTTTTTTAGCACATACAAGGATTTTGCTCTCCTTCGTTTTGTGGTTCATGAATAATATTCATTAAGTAGAAACAATGCTAGAGGCACATGGTATGCTTTCTTGTATTCTGTCTATGCATGTATGTCTTTTTTGGTTCATGAATGTTGTTAATTGTTCTTGGTAGCCTTTCATTATATGTTCACATTTTAGCTACATTGGTGAAGTGCTTGTATGTTAAAATTATGTGTATACCATTCTTTCGCCTAATTGTTTTCCGATATTGTACTGTAGGATCAAATCAATTTGACTGAGATCAAGTACCCATTGGAACATTTCAAGGTAGGTTAAGACTGGCAAAAATTGTAAAGTTTATTTAAATGATGCATGGAAATAGGATTTTCTTCTTGGATATTTATTAAGAATGAACATTTTAGTTTTGACCCATTGCCACTTGAATTTATGAATATGGACTGTAATGTTTATGTCATAATGTTCGGCCATATCTCATTATTGGACTAGTTCTTTTCTGTGATCTCCATCCACATAATGCTCTAAATTATGCCATATCCTTCTCTACTACATAGAATAGAACTTTAACGATATAAAAAGTCAAATCTATGTTTCCTGTAGTTGCAGTCTTGGATGCCATTGACAGAGAATTAGGAAGTTAGCTGCAATAAACTATTGTTATAATTTTGCCATTATTTGATTGGGATGCTATATCATTATCCTTGCTGTTTCTTTATCAAGTTTGTTGCAATGTGACACTTACTGTTATCCTCTTTAAATTGAATCCATTAGGCAGTTAGCTGCAATATACTATTGTTATAATTCTGCCATTATTTGATTGTGGTGCTATATCATTATGCTATATCATTATCCTTTCTGCTTCTTTATCAAGTTTGTTGCAACGTGATACTTGCTGTTATCCTCTTTAAATTGAATCCATAGTTTCTATGCATGCAGACATTTAATGAATTTTTTATAAGAGAGTTAAAACCTGGTGCAAGACCAATTGCTTGCTTGGAACGTGATGATGTTGCTGTATGTGCTGCCGACAGCCGTCTAATAGCATTTAGAAATGTTGAAGATAGTACAAGATTTTGGATTAAGGTACAGTCTAAATTCTTTAAGTGTGTGAGAGGGTGTTTGGTTACTTTTATGCTTTCTCTAATTTGAAAAATGAAAATAGGTATGACAATAGATGTTGGGAGGAGCAACAGTTACTTTACCCATTATAATTCTATCCTTCATTGCAAACCATTTTCAACATGACCACTTTTTTTTTTTTGGTTAACCTCTTTTGATGCTCATGTGGATGTTTTCACACTCATGTCACCTGATCTAACTAGCTAGGCTGTTCATTTAGTTGTGTATTCGTTATTAATAGAAGCTAAAAATAGTGAGATAATTCAACCTGCTAGATGCCTGAAGTTCCAAAAAGTTGCAAAGAACCAACTTAATGCATGTACAAGACTAGGAACTCTGAACACCAGATCAAGGGCTTTGGGACATGGCAGTGGGGTGGTTTTTTCTAAATGAAAACTAATACTAGTTGTCTGGAAATGGCTTCAATCTCCATCTGTAGATGGATGGATGAGAGCAGAAAACAAGAATCACTGCATTAAAAATAACTGATACCTAATTCAGAGATTTATTTAAATTTGAGAAAAGCCCTAATGTTCTTTGTGTTTCTTAATGGGATCTTACTTATTACTCTTAGGGTCGAAAGTTTTCTATTCAAGGTCTTCTGGGGAAAGAAATATGCTCTACTGCTTTCATGGACGGATCCTTGGTGATATTCCGATTGGCACCACAGGTATTTGGTGCAATTTTTATTTTATTTAATATTCAGTACAACGAAGGTTCTTAAACTCTATATTTTTCGGTTGCTATCTTCAAAGTTTAATATTTCCAATTTGTTGCAGGATTATCATCGATTCCATTTTCCAGTATCTGGAACCATTGAACACTTTGTCGATATACCCGGATGCTTATATACAGTATGTGCAAATTTAATATTCTTGTTGTGGTTAGTTTGTCATGTGTCTTCTTGTTTATCTTCTATTTCCCCTTTATTGATGCTGTATTTCTTATCATCAAGGTTAACCCTATTGCCGTGAATAGCAAGTACTGCAATGTGTTCACTGAGAATAAGCGGGTGGTGTCTGTTCTTTCAACTAAAGACTTCGGAAAGGTTTGTCGTTTTAGTCATTTGACACAATATTTATGATTCATCTCTCTCTCTCTCTCTCTCTCTCTGAGACACACTCACACACAAACGGAAGATGAACTATGAGGCTGTCTTTTAAATCTGCACAATTTGAACTTGGCAGCCTTAACTTTTAAAATAATATCTTTCCTTGTGAATTCTGTAGCATCTAGTTCTTTGCCCTTGCAGCTTGTCCCAATAAAGGATCAAACAGAATGTGAGGAGCCAGATGGCCGAATTATGATGCTCTAGTCCATCCTAGATGACATTGTATCAATTTGATAATATCAATTTGATAGTGCATGGACCTCATCCTCCATCCATCAATTCATATTGCCTTCCTTTATAGAAAATGACTCTGGATGTTTCCTTATCAATGAGCAAGAAATCTTATATTTTGCTTTTAGTATTTCAATTATGACTTTCTTGTGTTATGCCATAATCACGCAATACCAAAATAAAATAAGCCACCGTGTATAGAGTGTAGTTGTCAGCCTTCCCACTAGAATGCCTCTGTAGTTTTAGTCCTGTAATTGGCATTCCTCAAAATGCCTATGATATAGTGGTTGGCCTTTTGAATGGCCCCCTTTCTTTTCTCAGAAGCCCTTTACAACTATAAAGGAGAGAGATCTGTTCATCGTTGGAAACTTAGCTACTTAAGTGTTACTCAAAACTGAAGTCAAGGTATTCTGTTGTATAGCTGAAGTACCAAGGAAACCTTCGGTTCCCTTTGTTTAAATAAATGCCACCTATTCTAGTTACATTCATCACAATGTAAACCAAGACTACCATTACCCCACGTTCATTCCATCAATCTGGGGTTCCAGGGGGTTTTTTATGTCAGGTCTAACTATCATCTTTTATTCGTATGAAGTGGCTTCTAACCTACATTCTCACACTTAATGGCCAAAGCTTTTACAATTGTGGCAACCAACAGTTACATATTGAAAGTTCAGCCATGCTTCATAAGTACATGACTTACACCATGTTAGCTTCAATCCTAACTTAATTAACGACTCTTCTGCTTCATCTACAGATGGAAAATAAAAAAATAAAAAAACCCAGTCTTTCCATGTTAATGGGTGACCTTTTACAATTTGGATGCAGGTAGCATTTGTTGCAGTTGGTGCTACCATGGTTGGCAGCATCACTTTTACAAAGAAGAAGGGTGATTATATCCAAAAAGGAGATGAGGTTCGCATTTTATGACGATGCTTTTATACTTCTTTTCTGATCATTGCTATTATTCAATTTCTAACTGGCTTTCTACCTTCATTCACTCAATTTTTAGTTTGGATATTTCTCATTTGGTGGAAGTACTGTCATCTGCGTCTTTGAAAAGGTTTGTACCTAAGTACTTATCTTGAATCGAGGAATAAGTAGTCAGACTATATTTAATTCTTCCTTATTATATTGCGTTTCTTTTTTCTTTTAAAGGAGAAGGTAGTGAATGGATGGGTTTTCACCTTTCATGGAACGATGAGATATGGATTTTATTGTAATTGGCATTTTAATGTCCCTTTGGTACTTTCGTTTGTAACCAATTAAAAAGTCTTCTGATAAACCAAGTGTCATGGCCATTTTGTGACAATTTTTGGTTGTCTTCTTTTGAAATTAAAAATTAATAAGAAAAAATTGATACCTTTTTATACAGTTGGTTATTTTGACAGGCTTAGGACACTAGTCGGACGCTCCCAAAATGACCTATGTGGTGAATCTTTTAATAGGAGCAGTGTTCAATAGACCTTTTTAGAATTTTCCATGTTAGGTTATCTATGTCATGTTGTGTTGGTGTCTAAGCTAAGTCGGAATGCTCGATCTATACCAGAAGGGCAGATGAGTTCTTCTTTATATCAGTGGGCACACTTGCTAATGTTGTCGTGTTTAACTATGATATGTATTCTTTCTCATTTCATTGCTTATAAATGCGTTATCTTTTTGTATTTAATTATATGTGATGTTTTAAGCTTTGCTTATGTTTTTATTAATGTTTTAATTAATAATTATTATTTTTGAATGTCTTCTCACAATGTGCTTATGGATACATTCAAATTTATTTTGAGAGATTAAAAAAAAAATGCCGAAGGTTTTTACATTTTTTGAAGCATTCTATCAGTCATGTCAAAACATTTCATTGACCATTAAATAGTTTATATTTTCGCAAGCATTATTTGTTAAAGAAAAAAGTTGACTCTAGATGGAATTTTAACCTAGCGTCTTGCATCAATATCCTTTTTTGTTTAGTTAAATAGTTTGTGATTTTAATGGCCCAATTTCTGTGAAATGCTGCAGGATACAATAGAGATAGATGAGGACCTCGTCGCGAATAGTGCTAGATCACTAGAGACCTTGGTTTCTGTTGGAATGAAGTTGGGTGTCTCCATAAAGAAAGGTCCTGAAACTGGGTTGCCAAACTTGGAGAAATGTGTTTTAGGTGAGGCTTCATAGAGTTTTGTACATGAATTACCGCCCATTTCTACTCATCGTTAGTCCTAAACTTTGTTTAATTCCTATGTTTAGATAAGATAGGGTCATTGACAGCAAAATAATGTACCTTCATTGATTTTTGGAACTCTATTATGTAATGATGATATTTTGGATTTTATGACTTTCTAGTGATTAGTTGCAGTTATTCTCCAACTGAAATGTATTTAGCATAAATTAACTATGAAATTATGTCACCTTCAGAAATTTAGCTGGTAACTAGTGTAAAAATGTCATACCAAAATGCTCACTCCAAAAAAAAGTCATACTAAAATCTAGAAATATTAATTGCATTTATATCTAATGCTCTATATTTTTGGACGGAAAACATTTGAAAAATATTTTTTGTTTTTTTTGGAGTTTAATATAACAAAAAATAAATGCTAAAGAAGATAGAATGACACAGCTAACGACATTTCAAGAGGCATTGAGTATGAAAACCCAACCATGCATATCATATTGCATCAATTTAATTGTAGGAAATTTTGATTTTGATGTTAATATCTGTTGTGATTTGTATGTGTGTGAATTATTCGTTACGTGTCATGTTTCAAATCAGAAATTGAATGTTTATATGAGTTAGAAATCTTTTAGTGACGAGCTTAATCGACTTAGGCCTCGTTTGGGGATTGACTATTTTAGTCAAAAAGCTAAAAAGTTAACTAAAACTAGTCACATTATCTCTTTATTTTTCTGCACATCTTTTCGTAAAAAATTAAAAAATTACTAAAATAGCCTGTTGCCAAACGAGGCCTTAATTGAATATTTAGAGCCATGTGAGGGTTTAATTAAAAATTTGATTTAGATTAATATAAATTAAAAATAATTGATTAAGTTTAAATTGAGATTAAGTTAAATAATTAGATTAGATTCTAATCATGATTAATTTAAGTCTAATTAGTAATTAACCTAAATTAAGTCACTTAAGTGGTAAAAGATGTATATAGAAGACAATTCTAGAGTTAGGGAGAGAAGTAAAAAATTGATCCAGGAAGAAAGGAGAATAGAAGAGAGAGAGAACTCAAGGAAGAGGACTCAAGGGTTTGAAGATGAAAGGCTTAGGAATTGAAGAATTTGAAGGAAAACTCAAGAATTCAAGCTTAAGGTATGAAATTCAAACCAAAATCTTGTAAATAACTCATTTATTGCTTGAATTCGAGAACTAAATAGAAGATTGATCTTATAATTTGATAGAAATTGGGTTTTGAATGTTTTAATTTAGCTAGGGTGAAGAATATGAGTTCTAATTCTTTAAATTTGTTAAGTTAGAGTTCAATTTTGGGAAATATACATGAATTTAGTCTTATAACTTACATGCAACAAGATTGTTTGAAGATTTGATCTATGCAATTGAGTTTATGAATGATTTTGAAGACAAGTTTTGAAAATTATGAGTTCATGGAATTTGAAAGTTTGATTTAAAATTAAAGGAAGTTTTGATTCAAATGAATTGGAGATTGATCATATTTCATGTTTAATTTCATGTTTTGATGGTGTATTGAATGAGATTTGGGCATAGAAATGAGTTTCAAAGGTTTACACTTAGCAAAATTTCGGACTACTCAAGTTTGCCCAGAATCACATGTGTGGCTGTGAGTCCCGCATGTGTGGTCGTCAAGCCAAATAGAGACGAGGCTACTACTTTAATTGCACGTGCGGCCCGCACATGCGGCGCCATCCGCATGTGCAAAAAATAAGAGAGTGTGATTTGACTTTTTTTGACCAATTTAACCTTCTGAACACTGTTTTAAACTCGTTTAGACCCAACCAGGAAATTAAAAGACACTTAGAAACACATTTGAATTAATCTGAATATGTGAAGAAATGTGTAAGTGAATGAATGTGTAAGTTTTATCGAATTCATGTGTTATGTAAGTCGTTTGCTCTAGGGGACTTCATAGAATCAAACTTGTTATGAGTAATAATTTTGTAAAGATATGTTTCAAATATTTATTTTGAAACATCATGAAATGTTATGTTTTTCTTGAAATTATGTTTTGCTCCATTTGAATAAGTTTCCTATTTGTGGATTTTTATGTGACTTTTCAATGAAATCTTTATGAATGGCATAATGGACCTGAGGTCGTTCTGTTTATCTATGATATGATTGCACCAGAGGTCGTTCTGTATAAATTGGACCAGAGGTTGTTCTGATATGATTGAACCTGAGGTCGTTCTCATATGATTGGACCAGAGGTCGTTCTGTTATAACTTGGACCTGAGGTAGTTTTGCTTTATATTGGACCCGAGTTTGTTCTGTCAAATTGATATATGATCAGTGCTATTGGATGATTTATTTCTAAAAGATATGTTAACTATGATAAGTTGTTTCTAAATTCAGACTCATTCAATAACTCATTTACTTTATTATTATTCATTGGGCTTCGCTCACCTCCTTGCCCTATATGTATGTAGGTGATCAACAAGGAGATCAATCGTAAAGTCAGCTGAAGGAGTTACTTTTTGTGAACCTGTGATGTCATGCCTCCAAATTAAAGCTTTTGTATTTTCTTTTTAAGTTTTTGTTTTTTGTAAGTTGAGTTTTGGATGTTTGAACTTAATGTATGAAGATTATCTAATGTATATATTCTATGCATGGGTTCAATGTTAAGAATAAGAAATGTTTTACCTTTAGCATTCATGCACTACTCAATGGACTTTAATTACAATCTGTTTGCTTCTGTTTTATGCCTCATTATATTAAGTATTTTGTATTTTGTTTGAGGCCGTAGGTAATCATGACAAAGTGGTATTAGAGCACGAGTTAATTACTCCCACACAGGTCTATCTGAGCAATAAAGAGTCCAGAAAAGACTTAAGTTTTCATTTATGATACATTCATATACGAGTATGAAATGTATCTGTAAATGAACTGTTCATGGTGAGAACAAGGGTGGATGAACTGGATGAGTCTTCCTCCTCTCGACTCAATATGATGGAAATGATGAAACAAGATATGGCGGAAATCTTAAGGCAACAGCAACAACAAAAACCACAACCGCCGCCGCCGCCGCCACCACAAATGCCTATACCACCATTAGTGCAAGACAATCAAGCGGATGATCGAACAATTACGCTTACAAAAGAGTTTAAAAAGATGAAATTGCCATTGTTTTACGAGGGAGTTGATTCATTAAAAGCTGAGGCATGGGTGCTTGACATTAAAAAGCTATTTGAAGTCTTTCTGTGTACCGAGGCACAAAAAATACTGCTTACTGCCTTTACTTTAGAAGATGAAGCGCGTAGATGGTGAATACTTATTAGATATGAGCATAGGGGAATTAATTGGGCTCAATTTTTGGAGGTATTTTATGAAAAAAATTCCCGCAATGTATCCAAGACAGAAAAGTGTTAGAGTTTGAAAGATTGAGGCAAGGAAATAAAACCGTGGCAGAGTATGAAGCACAATTTACTAAACCGGAATGTTTTGTAGCACACATGGTTGATATAGATTATAAGAAAGCAAGGAAATTCCAAGGAGGACTCAAGGATTCTATTTAAGAAAGGATCAATGTTTTAATGTTGCCAAATTATGTTAACGTGCTGGATAGGCCCTTAATGTCTAAATCTAATATGGCTGCTCATAACCAGTTTACAGAATAGAAGGGAAAAAGACAGGGCTCCAATGTAAATAAAGGATCAACATCTTCACTGAACAAGAAGCCAAATTTGGGAATATCAAGTACTTCCGTTTCTACTCGTGATTCGGCAACTTGCCCAGAGTGTAGAAAGAAATATTTAGGGGTCTATTACCAAACAACATGGGCCTGTTTTAAGTGCGGGAAGAAGGGTCATTTGGTGAAAAATTGTCCCCAAAATGAACAACAAAATGTTAATAAGCCAGCCGCCACTACTACAAAATCATAAATAGATCACACTTTTTTGTGTGATGTATGTTATTTAATCACATTTTTTAAGTTTTGTCAAAGTATGATCTTTGGGAGTGTGATTAAAAAAAGTCATTTTTAATCAAACGTTTTAAGTGTGATTAATAACATTTAGATCACATCTTTTAAGTGTGATTAATATCTAATAAAACTATGATTAATAATGAGATAAGATCACACGTTATATGCATTTATCATCACAGTTAATGCATGTGATAAAAAAAGGATTCGACATATTTGAAGAATAATCAATATTATTTTTGTACGTGCATTTGAAGAATGTAATGCACACTATATACTATACTTTGAGTCACAACCACATATTGAATGGAATAACGTCATATATTTCATAAATGAAAGTTAAATATGTTCAAAAGTATATACAAAGGAATTAAATAAAAAGTTTTTAGAGTAATGATTGAGACTCTTATCCCCACAAGAACCCCACAAATCAGAACCACTCATGATGTGGGCCCCACACATACATCAGTGGACCCCACACATACATGGAGGGTCATGATCACTTTGGGGTTGTGGGGGTCATCCCTAATGGGGTCCCAAACATTTTCCAAGTTTTTAACCGTGCTTACATATATTAAAAAATAAAATAAAAAACTTGAAAAACTAAGTTCTTGAATTCTTTGACCATATTTTGCATCTCTCTAAGAAATTTTTGACTTGAAAACTGAAAACACAAATTAATTCAGAAACCGCTAGAAACATATGAATAAACTAACTATTTGTAGAGATTGTTCTAGTCTTACAAAAGATAAGGTCGGACATTTTCTCATTACACTGACTCTTCATCATAAGTAATTTCAACCTTCAAGTCACTTTCTTTGATATACCCCAAAATTAATAATAATGAGAGGCAAAAAAAAAAAAAAAGTTGAAATAACAATATAAAGAAAATTGTAGTTTCAACTCTTAGTTAAAAAAAAAAAAAAAAAAAAATCTTATTTTATTTTCCCTCGACAAATCAACAGACAACCTTCACTTGGTCGCTGCATGCAACATGGTATACTGTACTAGGTCTGCCTATTCAATACAGCCTCTTTTTTCTTTTTATGTTTCTTCTTCTTCTTCCTAACGTTTAATCTCTCATAATATCCTTTCACTAGGAATCTCATTAGAATATGTATATTTACTTTCAATTGACAATGAAGATTAAGGTTATCACCCTTTTACTCTGATAAAGTTGTGCACACCAAGGTATTTTCCAGAAGTCTTATTCCAGCTTTTATCAATTTCCATAATCTTCCCTGAGACATCATTCCATTCATTTGGTTCTGTGTATCAAAAACAACAATAAACGAGAATTACAAGAAAAGTGGTCGCAATGATTTTATACTCATGCTTGCTTCCATGTGAAATGACTTTGACCATTTAGAGAAGAAAGAAACCTCTCAAATTGTTTTAATTTAGTGGCAAGGATGTAAATGATAGTGGAGCAAAAATATGTAATTTCTTGAAATTTTAATAAACACAAGATGGGAAATGCAAGGTATGAAAATTCTGATGTACTTACTCTCTCGATAGCGAGAAAACGCACGGGCTAGAGCTTCAAAGGAAAACCTTTAAGAAATAATGAAAACATACATTGCATCAGTTAAAAGCTTGAGCCTACAAAGCCAAATATTTAGATGTAGCACTTTCCTCAATCTAAAACTAGTGTTTACATTTCAACAGGCACTAACTAGATCACATCACTTTTTTTGAACCATGTGGACAATTCAAGCTCTTAATTTAATCAATCTATTAACACCATTCGGTTTTCAAATGCTCTACTGATCCTCATCGTTTAATGTCCATGTACCACAACCTCCTTTTTCTTTTTTTCTTTTTTAACTGTAGTACTAGAAAGCCAAGAAGTCATTTATAGAAGTTCAGTACTTCACTTTGTGTAAGAGGTACAAAATTGCAAGCAAATGTAAGTTTTTTTAGTAAGCCAAGTTGGACCAAATCTAACAATGCTGCTAAATGAAACCTCATGAAAATTGTAAACGTTGACTTGACATGTGTACTTCAAGGTTCAGTTATATACTTGATGATTAAGCAGCATTTGTCCTATTTTTTTTTTTTTAACTTAAAGTTGTGCTTAGGCCGAAGGTAAACATGTTCAAAGACCTAAAGTGTTACACCAAGCTTCATGATGCACTAGGAATCAACTCAAACTTTTGAAAGGACTTTCAAGTTCAAGTGCACATGAGGTAACAGCAAAACCAATGTAGGACCATTTGGATATAGAAATTTTACAAGCATAGCAACAGGGTTCCTTGAAAACTTGTAAAATTGTAGGATAAATGTAGCATAATTTCCAAGAGGAACATAAGGACCAAGATATGTTAAAATCTTTTCCAAACGCAATCGAGGGTCTAATCTATTGTTTATGTTCAAGCATACATATCTTCACTAAATTGGCCCAACAAAGACTTATAGATGCAATGGTAAGGAAGAATGATATGATCATCGTAAATAGAAAGTTTAAAGAAAGTGAAAGACCTAAAATGACATGGGAGGTGGTGATAAAAAAAATGTATGCATTTATTTAATTTAACTGAGCATACAACTTTGATAGGGTGGAATGACAACTTGGTATGTTTTGGTTTAGTTTGGTTAGTTTGGGAACTCGTGTCAATATCGGAGTTATGTCTCATTTATTAAGATATACACCACAAACAACAGGATAAATGACAGTAAGAAAATTCACTCATACCTTGCCTTAAATTGACAAGAACTCCAAGTGTCTGCCATTCATTTTTGTGAAAGTCTCCTACTATACAAATTGTTGTGTCGCATAGACTCTTCTAAATGCATATCCATTTTGGACACTCACCTGACTATGGGCATAGGATATGCATATGATATATCTAGTTCGATAGGCAGCTGTCAAGGAACTCCCTTGTTAAATTGCGTTTGCAACATGGTTGCTTCAAAATTGAGTGAAGTGTTTCATTCTTAATGCTCTATGTTACATAAGAAAATCCCCCTACCTTAAAAGTAAAAGATCATTAAGAAGTATGAATATTAGCCATGTCTAGTATTCCTTGGACCTCGTGAAACACTTCAACACATGCCCCTAGTAGACACACACGCACTTGAGAGTGTGTACGTAGACAACTTGCTACAATAATATTCTTGTATAGATACATACAAAGGCACAAATATGCACAAATGTTATTAAATGCCAAATTTAATTTTTAGAAAATTTCCAAAAGTTAGGTGTGTACCCAATTTTTTCCCTCCCAAACACACATTAATGTGTACTAACTGGGCGTTGTTGGTTTTTTTTTTCCAAGTATATAATATAATAATATTTAATACGCACATAATAAGTTGCCATGGGAAAGGCGTAAAAGAAAATGAACTCTAACTTTGAGAAACAACATGGTCAAATATGATTTATTTGTTACTATAAGTTCTAGAGTGTGACAAAATAAAATGGTTGCAGCCAACATAAGTAATGCGGATTAGTTTTGTTTAGTTTCAGTAGTAACTAAAAATTTCCTAACAAGAAAAACAAGTTACCCATTAGCCATCTCAACATGTAACTCATCATCCATATCAAATGCTGTATCAACAAGACCACCAGTCTTCCTAACTATTAGGACCTGAAATAATCAAAATTTAGAAGTATGACTTGTCTCAATGCGTTTCTGTTAACCAATGGTCTTGAGTCTGTTGGACATATGAATATTCTCTAAACAAAAATAAATAAATAAACAAATGATGTAGCTAGTCTTTTTGATTGTTACAGATGAACAATTCTTTTGCCATATGATTTTGATAAATGGGCATATGATGAAAATTGAATTCTTTAATCCAACCTTCCTTTTAGATGCCATGTCAGGAGTATTAACACTGCACCTGTAATGGCTTTGGCAAAATGTAGACAAATAGGTATTACATGGATGCATAACTGGAAACTTACGATATTACTTGGCAGGATAAACCAATCATACACTTGCAGCTCTAGAATGTCGAAATTTTTTTTTCTATTACTTTTTGAACCATGAAGGTCAAAATTATTTCTTCAAAATTGTACAAGAATAAAAACACACACACACACACACATACACACAAAAATGCAGTGATAACTGAGCAGTGAAGTCAAATAGTCATCACTCATTACCTAGACAAGAGAAGAGGAGTGAGTTTACAAGATAGTATATACCGCTCCATAACGCATTCCAATCATCTGAGCAAGTCCACATGGCTCATCTATGGAAGGAACTAATACCATGCCTGTTGCAGCATAAAGCATATGTGACAGCTCCTCACTGCATAGTGGATTTGATATCAAAGCATATACAACACGCAAAAAACTCAATCAATAACCAGCATAGTTGACAACATACTGCTCAGGATATAAAAGCTCACTTTAGGCTTAAAAATAAACATGCGAGTAGAGTTCCAAAATTTTAAAACAGAGAAAGTAACAACAACAAATTAACAGATTTGAGTAAATATCCAAGATGACTACCTGTACATCAGAAGAATCTGGATGCTGGGTCCTTGGTTATGCTACAGATTGTACAATAATTGATTTGTCATCAGCTTATCATGTCAATTGCATAAAGAAGCAGAAGACAAGAAAAATTATTTAGACAATTCAGTTCACAACAAAAGTTCCATATTGTGTAGTAAAATGATATCCACACTCCCTTTTTTTGTCTTTTAGCCTCTCACAAGGATATTGTGAGAGGCTGAAAGTGGAGTGTGAACATTATTTGTCTTTAGAAATCATGCAGCATCTTAAAATTGATTTTAACTTTATTTGGGATTTATTCTTGCAGAAACATATTGTGATTCTTTATGTTCGTTCAAATGATCAGTTGGGTGATATTCTCACCAAACCATTAGCTTGTTCATCGTTTCAACATGTCTTCCAAGCTAGGCTGTTTAATATGCTTTAGCTTCGCATGGTAGAGTGTTATGTTATTTTGCTTATGTAACATTGAGGGTAAGACAACCAGAAGCCATTAGCTCAGCCAAAAGGTAAAGATAACCAAAAATATAACAGCACAAAATCAGAATAATGAATAAAAAAATAGATAAAAAAAACAAAAACCCATCAATATGTATTATATTGTAAGCAAGGCAAATCATTACAGGTTTGGAAATATAATAGTGAGCATTTGTGGCTAATGAAAGAGTCTTTGATAGTGGGCACAAATTAAATAATGAAAATGTTTAATTTGATTATGAAAGCACTGGAAATGTCCTCAGTCTGTTATAATCTCTATGAAGCTTATTTCCAGCAAGAAAGAGTTGCTGCAAATTTGCCAGAGAGCTTATTTCCAACAAGAAAATCTGTCACTGCTATGAACAAATTCAGCAACCTGCATCTTGGGACAAATGCATCTATACCATAACCAAACAAGGGACTTAGCATATTAACAGAGTAGCTTGATAAAAAAATAAAAAATAAAAAAACACCAAAAAATATAATTTTGAATTTTCAAAAATTATTTCCACCCCCAAAAAGAGAAAATCATCCAAAATTAATGAAACTTACTACCTCTGCTCTTCATGTTTTATATCTGAATGTGATCAGATTGAAGTCGAATGCGCCTTCTGTGACTTATTTTCTTGATTTTTTATTTTTTTTTTATAAATATTATATATGAATTACTGTGCTTTGTTTGTGGAGTTAAAAAAAATTATCAGCTTTATATTTTCTTTTTTAATGTTTGTGTTTTGTGGATACTATCTCAATCCATTTCTTCTTTTTTTCTCATCCAGTTACTTTCTTTATATATATATATATATATATGTATACACCACATAGATTACATTGACGAAGGTAAGTTTCTTTGCTCCTCATAAATCTGTGTCTTCATTTATTTATTCTACATATTTGATATAGATTCAGGTCATTTTTTTTTATTTGTCTTGAGATCCTTGATTGACCTCTGATCTATGCTTTAGGAAAATTGGGTCTTCATTTATTTGTTCTAAGAACTTTTATTTGATATAGATTTAGGTTGTTCTTTTCATTAGTCTTGGGACCTTTGATTTTGAACTCAGATCTATGCTTAGGAAATTTGGGAATTCATTTATTTGTTCTGAGCAACTTCTGTTGGATATAATAATTACTAGGAGAAATCTACAATGTGTGTGCACCCCTAAAAAGGGTATATTGTAAGAAGATTTACAAATTTTTGTTGTGAAAGTTATGAATATTTGTGGTGTTTTATGCTAATTTGAGGTCAAAGTTATGACTAACGAATTTATGATGCGCACTCTAAAGTAAAGGTAATACTTTTTGTAGTGAATATTATTCTCTTTGTGGTGAGAAAAATTATGTCATTTTATAATTTAAATTATAAATTTTATGGTATTATTATGAAACCATATCATATGCACCTTTTAAGAGTGCACATAATATTATCTTCCATTATGATTTTGTTTTGAGTGTGATTTTGATGATATATATATATATATATATTTGTATTTATTTGGGAGTTGATAGTAATTCCTATGATGTGATCACACACACGTGCTTTCACCTTCTTATATGCTAATAAGGGCTAGCAGTAAAAAATTGAATTATATAATGTGAGAAACTTGTAAGCCTTATAAACCTTAGAATAGAATTTTGTTGAAGGACCTCTGTATTATATCAACGATTACTGGTTTAAAGGTTTTAGTCTTTTATAAACCTTGGTTGGGTCATGATTAGGCAACATATTGCATGCAGCGCTAGGTATGAATATTTTATTTTGTCACATAATTTTCTTTTTTTTCTTTCTCTGTTCTTTTACGAGTTAGATCGCTTTGTTTATGAATTGTTTAATGATATCAACCCTTTCTTTTGTAAACTAATTCTGCCTACTAAGAGATTTAATTACCGTTTTGCAGTTATTGGCTTTTGGAAGTGGAGTTGACCAAACTTATCAGGGAACTAAGCTCGAAGATTAGAAGTTTTGTAGGTGAATAATTTGTATATTTTAAAGAGTTAGATATTATGACTTGTACATGGTTAAATTTTGTATCTAGCTTGTTTATAAGCTATCTTTTATGGACATAAAGATTGCATTTTGATACTTTAAGGTGATGCAATTATTATATTTGGTACTTCAATGGCTAGACATTTGTTGGCCCAACTCTTAATTCTCTTGGTAATCCTATTCACAAGCTGGTCACAATCACTATATCTCAATTTAGTAGAGATCAGTGGGACCCCCAAATACCTCACAGGTAAGAAACCCTCCTTACTCTGTACAACCTTGGTGATATCATCTCTCAGTTTTTTCTCACATCCAGAGAAAAAAATATGACTTTTGTTAGGGATAAGAGACAAGCCAGACGACTTTGAAATTCATCTAGCCCATTCTTAATGGCCTTTAACAGCAAACACATCCCCCTTACAAAAGATCATCAAGTCATCGATAAAACGTAGATTGACAATCTTAGTTTTCTCACACCTCCAATGAAACTTGAAATCAGGATGAGTGGATTTCTCAGCCAGAAATTTTTTTTTTTTTTTTATCATGCATATTTTTATATTCAAGTTTCTTCATCTTCTTTCCCAAGTTTTTATTATTTTCTCTCCATCTTCTTCACTCTAAAATTTCAATCCACTCCATCGAAACTCACCATTATCATCAACTCGTTTATGTACAAGTATGGCTTCTTCAAGATCTTGGTGTTCCCAATCTTAACGGGAATTTTACTAATGAGGTTGTTCTAATACAAAAGCAAATCTCCATATTCTGATTATTGTTCAAATAAAGACATTCTAACCTCAAGCAATTTCCAACCTCCTTAGGAATATTTCCTGTGAACCCATTGAAAGAAACATCACGATTGTTAAGATTGACCAAACTGTACTAGGGCTTAGAATCCCATAAAAGTTCATCGAATTCAAAATCAACAGGCACCAAAGTTGGATTATTATAATCCAATGTGCAATTAACACCCTTCCAAGCACATGTGTTTGGTCATTGGAATTCCAATTTTTTAAATGATTAAATTCAACTTTAGGAGTGTAAAAATGACCTGCGGTCTAGAGTGGACCTGACTCGCTTAGGCTCAGACCCAAGCCCAGCCCAAGACCCTTGGCCTGGGTCATTATATAGAAGCCTAGCTCGGCCTGTGTGTCCGACCCGTTCAAGGCGAACTCAAAACCCGACCCGAGGCTCGACCCACTCGAGACCCAATGTTATTTTTAATGGAAAAAATAAAATTTTGATAAAAAAAAAAAAAAATTTTTTTTAAAAATGTTCAAACCCTGCCCAAGCCTAGGCCCCACCGGCCCGGCTTGCCCAAGGCCCGAATACGCCTGGGCCTAGGCTTAGTTTTCTAGCCCGTGGGCCAGCCCGGCCTGGTCTGGGCCTAGCCCGAATTTTGACAGGAGTCTGCGAGGCCCGACATTGGCCGGTCCTAGCAGAGATGGGCCGGGCCAAATTTACACCCCTATTCATCTTGGATGCTTTTCTTGAACTCCAAAAGGTACAACTCCTTCGAATTCAATCCTTGTGAGCTACAAACCAATAGAGTTAGATGTACCGCAAATTATAAATTTATCTTGAAGGGTAATTTATGAAAAAATATAAGGTGTATTGTGAATAAATTATAATCTTAAATAATTTAATAGAAAGTACTAAAAAATTAAGTACTTAGTGTAAGTCCTAATAAGTGAATTTATTGTCTAATAGGTCTTATGGAAAAAATTTGTCATAAAAAAGTCACTAATTGTAAGTTTTAGTGACAATTTATAAAAATCATGACAAAAAAAAGTCACTAATTCTCAATTTTTAGCGACATATATAAAAAATTGTTACAAAAAAAATATTTTCAATGACAATTTTACCAAGATTATTTTCAATAGGACTTGATGAGAATTAAATCTAACTATTATGACCTATTGATATTTTACTCAAAAATTTAAACATACTAAATAATTTTTTAAATACAAATAAAATCACCTGAAAGTATACCCAACAAATATTTGTCTCTACTGTTTTCCACTTGGGCCTTTTGATTCTCTGTCTCTTACTGTTGAGGTGATATTTATAATTGGAGTTCCTCGTGACCCCCGTGTTGCTGCCAATTGCTATCATGAATAAAAAATGGAAAATAATCATAAGTGGATGATCCTCGTGACCCGCGTGTTGCCGCTAATTGCCATCATGAATAAAAAAATGGGAAAATAATCATAAGTGGATGGTTGAAATTTTTTTGCAAATTCATGATAAAATTTATAAATTTTAATTATTAAAATTATAATTTTTTCATATTTACGTAATTATTTTTGAAATTTCACTTAAATTGTAATTTTCTTATGAAAAATTAAGGAGAATTACAATTTAGTTGGATTTTAAAAAAATATTTACAAAAACATTAAAAAAAATTAGCATTTTGATTATTAATATTTATAAAATTTATCATTTATGTGTAACTTTTTTCTAAATATACACTGAATTACATTTTTTTCTAAAAATTAAAAATTAACACGATATGTCTAATGATATATTGAGATTTGAGATTATGATACAATATTATAATATGATTGTCATATCATGAAACATTAAAATCATATCACAATATATTATGATGCATAATAGTATTGGAGAAAATTCTAAAAGTATTGACGGGTTGTTTAGGAACATCCAAAAAAGTTAATACATCTTTTGCAATTTTATGTTGTAAAAATTAGTGTTATTTACATACTACGATATGAGCACAAGTTATATACACAATATTGTGATTTAGATGTGATGATACTGTTTGTTCTAGTAAATGGATCAGACTGGTCCAAGCTCCTCAAGCCCACGTCCAAATAATTAAGCCCACCGGATAACCTGTAAACAAGTTCAACGGGAACTGGGTAATCCCCCAGTGAACCCTCCGACGAGCAAGTTAGGGAGAGAAGTAGAGTGTAGAGAGAAAGAGATTAGAGATAGAAAAGCTTAACATTCTTCTTGTCTTCAACGTTTGCTTATATCCTTTGATAATCATTTCGCTGTCCCTTCCGACTTGCCCTCCTTGCCGAAAGTCTATGTTGTAGCTTACCTTGTTCAAGGTAAGGGGGTCTTATTCCGACGGAGAGGTGTTGTCGTAATAAATGCTGTGATGGGCTGCATTAATGGTAATGTGCAGTGGCAATAACTTTGCAGATCTTTGTCTACTGATGTGGCTCGTCCTTCACCTGCCGTGTGTCTGAATGTCATTGGCTCTTTATGCCATGTTGGACTCCAGCCTGGGTCATGCATTAGGCTCCAAGTGATGGGCTCGAATTGTTTATAGTGATTCATGGCCTTTATGGGCTTATACACGTTAGTAGTCCCCCATTCCCGAGTGCAGCTTTAGTCCAACGAAGGGAATATTAATGAAGTAGATAAGGGTGTTAGGGATTGGCAGGATGGAGGTCGACCGGCAGGGGTGACCGAGGGGGTGAACCAACCAGGAGGTGGTCCGACCGTGCAGGGCGACCGAGTAGAAGGGCCTATCACAGGGAGGATCGACCGCAAAGGTTGGCCGAGTGGGAGGGTCGACCACGAGGAGGGCCGACCGCGAAGGGGGGCCAACCGCGGAGGTTGGCCGAGTGGGAGGGTCGACCACGAGGAGGGCCGACTGCGAAGGGAGCCGACCGCGGAGGTTGGCCGAGTGGGAGGGTCGACCGCGAGGAGGGCCGACCGCAAAGGGTGAGGTGGAGGGGCGTGGGGCTTGAGAGGCGGCGTGTCACGTGGTGATTTGAAGTGGAAAAGACAGGGTAAGGGGAAGAGACAGTGGATCGTGGTCGTACACGTAGCAACATCCTACGGGAAGAGGGGCGGGGGGGCGGAGGGAAATTAGGCGCTAGATCAAAAATGAAACGATAGGTCATTATGGGTGTTGAAAAGACAGTTTTGGCGGATGATTTGAAAAGTTTTCAAACTGGCAAAAATTAATTGGGATCCTTGGAATACGAGCAAACCATGGGCTTTTGGCATTATTCGATTCACCTACTTGTTTATGAAAAATCAAAATATTCCAAGTGTGAATTCCTTTGTTGCTCGCGATACACCTCTGCAACACTTTTTCAACTTCCTTGCACCTGCATCCGAAGCGATTCGCAGGCATACCACAGAAATGGCCCAAGAAGAAACTGCGAATGTCAGGGTGGATCCACTTGGTGATGATAATGTAGTGGAGTTAGCACAGCAATATAAGATGGAGAGGGTGGGGGAGTCGGTGGTACAATCCCATGGTTCCACTATGATAGCAGCTCCAAAGCCAATCAGCCAGGTAGAACCAGATCACTGGCATACAAAGGCAGATAGATCAACGGTTACTGTAGCGGATTTGGAGGCCATTCACGAAAAATACCAGGTGCCTGCTGAAATAGAGTTGTTGTTGCCGATGTCGATGGAGAGGCCATCCGACGCCAGGCCGTGGGAGTTTGCCCTTTATGAGAAAACATTGAAGGGAGGACTGAGGCTGCCCCTGCCGCAAGTGGTGGTAGATGTCCTGAATCGTTTGGAGGTAGCGCCGGGCTAACTAGTGCCCAATGCGTGGAAGATCTTACTGGCCTGTGCAAGTGCGTGGCCGAAGGCGAACGAAGGGGCGGCCATGACAGTAGACGAATTCTTCGCATGTTACAAGGCCTCAGGGCAGCAAGAGACTTGGGTCACTCTGCAGGCAACGGCAGGGAAATGGCTGGTGGCGGGGCTGCCGTCATCGATCAAGGGGTGGAGACCACGGTGGTTCTATGTATCTGCCAGTGGAGGGGTTGGAGTGCGCACCATTTGGAAAGTGCCCACCAAGTGTGTGGAGCCAAGGCTGGGAGCAGCAGTAAAGGAGAGGGTGAAGAGGGTAAAAGAATGGAGGGAGAAGGAAGGGGCCAGGTGGGACGAACTCGTTCAGCCGTCGGCTTTGTTTGAGGTAGGGTTGGGTCCACAGCCGAGTGGTGGGGGCCTCAATCGAACGGAGTTAGAGGCAAGAAAGAGGGCACAAGAGGCGGAGGATCAAACCATCCTTGCCAAAGCCCAAAAATTCAAAGAGTCTCAAGCAGACCAACCGCCAAAGCCGGTTGCAAGGGAGAGGATCCGACTGCGACCCAAACCCTTGGGGGAAAAAAACTTAGGTGAATTTGTGCCACGAATGCCCCCAATAGATCCTTTGAAAGAGAGGTCGTTGAAGGAGATGGAGGTGTTGGGCGTAATGAAGAAGAAGAGGAGAGTGAGGAGGAGTGAAGAAGAGCCTGCCCCGAAGATAAAGAGGGAAGTGAGGGCAAAAGAGACCAGTATGGTGAAGGGGGCCAGAGGGGGGGAAGTGAAGGAGACCCCAGGAAGAGTAATTGCCCCAGAAGTGGTGGACATTGCCTCAGAGGGCATGGAAGTCGTTCCAGTAGTGGCGGCGATTACCGTGGGGGTCGCGAGGGTCGTCCCTAAAGTGCAAGTAGAAGGTGGGGTGACTGGCCCTGAGCCAAGGGGGGAAGAACAGCCCCAGGGGGCTCCTGCACCCCAAGGAGGGGGAGTCAGTCTGACTACTGCGATCTACCATGCTCGTGCGGTGGCTGGGCGGCTAGAGGGAGAAGAAGGCCCAGCCAGGGCAGGGGCAGACCGCCTTGTGGGGATTGTAGAAGAGGCAGCCTTGCGCTCAGCAGCCAGATTCAATGAGGCTGAACTGCTGAGGGGGTTATGCTCCGCTCAAATAGAGGTAACCACCTTAGCAGGGGCTCTGCTGAGAAAGGCTGGGGCTGCAAAGCTCAAGGCAGATGAGGCCAAGGCTCAACTTGCAAGGTTGAAGAAGGAGAGCGCAAACTGGGAGAGTGCCCACACTGAGCTGCAAACGGTTAAGGTGGAACTAGAGAACACACGCCGCCAGGTTGTGTCGCTCGAGTTCCAACTGGCTGGCGAGCAGAAGAGGTTGGATGAGGCCCAAAAAGCCTGCGCGGTCGCGGTCGAACGACATGAAGAGGCGATGAACAGTAATGAAGAGCTGGTCAGGTAGAAGGATGAGGCAGACGTGAAGATTAGCGATCTGCAGAAGGAGCTGGAGGGGGAGCGTGCAAAGGCACTGGAAGAGAAGGAGAGCCTTCAGAAGGAGTTGGAGGCAGAGAGAGCCAAGGCGACTGCTAAGAGGGAGACCTTGAAGAAGGAGTTGGAGGCAGAGAAGGCCAAGGCAACTGCTGAAAGGGCGTTCCTGAAGAAGGAGTGGAAGAAAGAGAGGGCTAAGGCAGCCTTTGAAACGGCGACCCTGCAGAAGGAGCTAGACGAAGAGAAGACGAAGGCAGCCTCTGAAAGGGCGGCTTACCCCGATCTGTATGTGGCAGCAGTGGATCAATTCAAGGGGTCTGCTGAGTTTCAGATGGCAGTGGATGCCGCAATCGCCAGCAGCTTGGCGAGGGAGGAGTCCGGGGGGGCGGGCCCATCGAGGACGACCGCTGGGGGCAAAACTGAAGCGGAAGTGATTGAGAGCTTCCAGCAATCAGACTTCTATAAACACGAAATGGTTGAGTTCTGGGACAGTGGCTGGAAAATGTTCAAACGTAGGGCTGAAGAACTGTTCCCAGACTTAGACCTCAGTAGTGTAACAATTGGTGAAGATGATGTGAGAAACTTGTAAGCCTTATAAACCTTAGAATAGAATTTTGTTGAAGGACCTCTGTATTATATCAACGATTATTGGTTTAAAGGTTTTAGTCTTTTATAAACCTTGGTTGGGTCATGATTAGGCAACATATTGCATGCAGCGCTAGGTATGAATATTTTATTTTGTCACATAATTTTTTTTTTTTTTCTTTCTCTGTTTTTTTAAGAGTTAAATCGCTTTGTTTATGAATTGTTTAATGATATCAACCCTTTCTTTTGTAAACTAATTCTGCCTACTAAGAGATTTAATTATCGTTTTGCAGTTATTGGCTTTTGGAAGTGGAGTTGACCAAAATTATCAGGGAACTAAGCTCGAAGATTAAAAGTTTTGTAGGTGAATAATTTGTATATTTTAAAGAGTTAGGTATTATGACTTGTACATGGTTAAATTTTGTATCTGACTTGTTTATAAGCTATCTTTTATGGTTATAAAGATTGCATTTTGATACTTTAAGATGATGCAATTATTATATT